TACTCAACAGTCTTCACCAATGAGTATTATCGCGAAAATAGACACAAACATTAATGATACCAGACTAGAGAAATCGCAACATTACATTTGTCGCCAGAATGACCAACAAACCAGTTGTAAAAATGCAACGAAATCAGCGGAAGGTAAATATTGGGTGATAAAATGGTGCACTTACACCTAACAAAGGGGCAACAATCGCTTCCCGCCAGACTGTTGCACAAAGGGGTAACAATTATATACTCGATGCTGAACGCCACACTCACTTGTCACTCAAACACAACGACAGAGACAGACAGATACACAGAGGATGACAGGGATGTCTTGCAGAGTCAGTAACCAAATATTAGTTTAAAGTTTCCCCGTTAACTCTGGGCAGGTAACTGACTCCTGGTCTCATTGCTCCTCGTGTTATTGTTAGCATACTTGCGTAAGTCCCCCTCCACACTCTCCTCTTTCTCTTTACCGTTTTTTATCATTTTCCTTCCTGCTATTAAGCAAACATTTTCATACCACCTCCTGAAGTGTTGGACCTACAGTCTTGGAGCTCTGCAAGACCTTTTCTCTTATCTGTGACAGCATTTACCTCTTTGATAAGGATCCCTTTCTGAACAGTACTGTTGTGTGTAGTTCTCTGATAATAACGGGGTCTTTTTCTACGGCATCCGCTATATTTGAGTGCTAGTGTGTGTTTTTATAGTGATTCCTTGTAGTAGGGACTTGTTTTGTATCACGATGCTTGCTTATATCAGTGTTAAAACCTTAAGAGTGGAATTAGCATATCATGCATACGTGACCAAGGCTGGAGAATAGTTTTTTGTATACCCAATAGAGAGTTGTAGTGTGAAGACAACGCAATATTGGCAGGTCTCATTAAACGTGACCTGCAACGAGTCAAGTTGCAGGTCTACACTTCTAAACAGGTTACCACACAAACAACAGTTTATTTTAGTTTAGCGAGGAGTACCAACATTCCCTTCTCTCGCTGACACACACACACACACACACACACACACACACACACACACACACACACACACACACACACACACACACACACACACACACACACACACACACACACACACACACACACACACACACACACACACACACACACACACACACACACACACACACACACACACACACACACACACACACACACACACACACACACACACACACACACACACACACACACACACACACACACACACACACACACACACACACACACACACACACACACACACACACACACACACACACACACACACACACACACACACACACACACACACACACCACACACACACACACACACACACACACACACACACACACACACACACACACACACACACACACACACACACACACACACGGGGCTGTCTCAACCACCCACCTTCCCGCTACATTTTGGTCCCGGTAAAAAAATCCAGTTTCATCACTTGGACAAACACAGTTTATAAGTGTGTGAGGATGGACTGCGCATGTGTCTGGGACGAGGTCATGGCAAGAATTAAGGGAATGTGTCAGCAAGAGCTAATACTGTTGCACACACTCGCTCATCACGTACTGACTGTCATCCTACCAATCCTCGACACGGTGACTATACATGATTGTAAACATTTTCTGATTTAGTTTGGAACGAGGGTCTGATTCAGGTCCCGCACATTTGATGTTTTCCTTACATACGATCCTTCAGGGTTTTACAGTCAGTTCCTAATTACTTGCTTAGGGGCAAACACTGCCAGCAAACAGTGGAGCCTGGTTCAGAGCCTTCTGCTTCTTGAACTTAACAATTCGAGGATGGCCACAACAATTGCTCACTTTTGCCTCATCTATCTTGAAGCTGTGTAAGCAACCCGGCCTCAGACCAAGTCCATTCCATCCAGCGGTCGACCTCAAAGACGCGTTCATCAATTTCAACATGTTACCTTACCTTGTGGTTACCTTGTGTTCGGTTCAGGGCTTAGCCTCCCCGCGGCCCGGTCCTCGACCAGGCCTCTTCGTTGCAAGACTGGCCAATCAGGCTGTTGGACGCGGCTGCTCGTAGCCTGACGTATGAGTCACAGCCTGGTTGATCAGGAATCCTTTGCAGGTGTTATCATGGCTGTTCATTCAAAACATGAATTTTCTCATATATAAATTAATATCATTATATATTACCATATTCTGCATATATAGGTATAGGTTAGGTTAGGTGTTTAGGTTCTGTTGGCGATTATTTGTATTTGTAGTACGTGGGTGAAGCATTTACAGCGTTGTGGTTGACATCATCATCCCTACCACACTACTCACCATCATCACTACCACACTACTCACCATCATCACTACCACACTACTCACCATCATCACTACCACACTACTCACCATCATCACTACCACACTACTCACCATCATCACTACCACACTACTCACCATCATCACTACCACACTACTCACCATCATACCACTACCACCACTACCACACTACTCACCATCATCACTACCACACTACTCACCATCACTACCACACTACTCACCATCACTACCACACTACTCACCATCACCATCACTACCACACTACTCACCATCATCACTACCACACTACTCACCAACACCATCACTACCACACTACTCACCATCATCACTACCACACTACTCACCATCATCACTACCACACTACTCACCATCATCACTACCACACTACTCACCATCATCACTACCACACTACTCACCATCACTACCATACTCACCATCACTACCACACTACTCACCATCACTACCACACTACTCACCATCACTACCACACTACTCACCATCACTACCACACTACTCACCATCACTACCACACTACTCACCATCACTACCACACTACTCACCAACACCATCACTACCACACTACTCACCATCATCACTACCACACTACTCACCAACACCATCACTACCACACTACTCACCATCATCACTACCACACTACTCACCAACACCATCACTACCACACTACTCACCATCACCATCACTACCACACTACTCACCACCATCATCACTACCACACTACTCACCATCATCACTACCACACTACTCACCATCACTACCACACTACTCACCACCACACCATCACTACCACACTACTCACCATCACTACCTACACTACTCACCACTCACCATCACTACCACACTACTCACCATCACCATCACACTACTCACTAACATCATCACTACCACACTACTCACCATCACTACCACACTACTCACCAACACCATCACTACCACACTACTCACCATCATCACTACTACACTACTCACCATCATCACTACCACACTACTCACCAACATCCTCACTACCACACTACTCACCAACACCATCACTACCACACTACTCACCAACATCATCACTACCACACTACTCACCAACACCATCACTACCACACTACTCACCATCACCATCACTACCACACTACTCACCAACATCATCACTACCACACTACTCACCATCACCATCACTACCACACTACTCACCACCACCATCACTACCACACTACTCACCATCACCATCACTACCACACTACTCACCAACATCATCACTACCACACTACTCACCACCACCATCACTACCACACTACTCACCATCACCACCACACTACTCACCAACATCATCACTACCACACTACTCATCATCACTACCACACTACTCACCAACATCATCACTACCAGACTACTCACCAACACCATCACTACTCACCATCATCACTACCACACTACTCACCATCACTACCACACTACTCACCATCACTACCACACTACTCACCACTCACTACACCACTCACCACTACCACACTACTCACCATCACCATCACTACCACACTACTCACCACCACCATCACTACCACACTACTCACCATCATCACTACCACACTACTCACCATCACTACCACACTACTCACCATCACTACCACACTACTCACCATCACTACACACACACTCACCAACACCATCACTACCACACTACTCACCAACACTCATCACTACCACACTACTCACCATCATCACTACTACACTACTCACCATCATCACTACCACACTACTCACCATCATCACTACTACACTACTCACCATCATCACTACCACACTACTCACCAACACCAACACTACCACACTACTCACCAACACTATCACTACCACACTACTCACCATCACTACCACACTACTCACCAACACCATCACTACCACACTACTCACCAACACCATCACTACCACACTACTCACCACCACCATCACTACCACACTACTCACAAACATTTTCACTTACACAATTACCTCACTATCTCAAAACTCACAACTTACTCTTATGTAAACTGTGTCACTCTTGACAGCATTACCACCTCAGATGAAAGCATTACCATCTCAGATGAAAGCATTACCATCTCAGATGAAAGCATTACCATCTCAGATGAAAGCATTACCATCTCAGATGAAAGCATTACCATCTCAGATGAAAGCATTACCACCTCAGATGAAAGCATTACCATCTCAGATGAAAGCATTACCATCTCAGATGAAAGCATTACCGTCTCAGATGAAAGCATTACCATCTCAGATGAAAGCATTACCATCTCAGATGAATGCATTACCATCTCAGATGAAAGCATTACCGTCTCAGATGAAAGCATTACCATCTCAGATGAAAGCATTACCATCTCAGATGAATGCATTACCACCTCAGATGAAAGCATTACCATCTCAGATGAAAGCATTACCATCTCAGATGAAAATCATCTTGACAGTCGCCGTCAAACTGCACTTGACAACTTGAGGATAAAGTCCTGTCAATAATGTGTACGGTGTTGCTAAGGTAAACTTGACGGGTGATCAAAATGGTGTGAGGACCATGAACATTTTCCCTTGCCTGCCCCTCTGGCCAGCCCTGGTGATCCTCTTGACTATATTGTCTGGCATCTAGGATATTAGCACCTGCTTAACTAGCTGGCCATGTGACTAGTTAGTCTGGCAAAATGGAGCGTCTTGGGGCTCACGACGTGGCGCAGCTCCTAAGGAAGAAAATAAAAACTCTTGGCTCCGGGACTTACGGTAGAGTAGTCCTGGTTAACTGGCACGGAGAGCAGGCCGCACTTAAAGTGGCCAACCATGCATCGGCCGCTAAGAGCTTCAAGCGGGAAGCCAGCGTCTTGTCAGAGCTGAAAGGGGCTGGAGGCGCGCCCCTCCTACTGGCGGTGTCTCACGATCGCCCAGCTCTCCTCACCACTTATAAAGGGGACACGAACGTGGATAAGATTTTATGCCACCCGCAATACGACGTAGTGCAGATTGGGTTTAAAATTGGCCTAAAATTATTACATGTCCACACAAAAGGGTATGTTCATAACGACATAAAATCTAACAATATAATGATTGAAGGCTCACCCGACCACCCAAAAATTAGTGTGATCGACTTCGGCCTCTCCTGTAAGAGTGGTGAAGTGGTCCTTACAAAAGGTGACCCCGAGGACTACCCGCTCTACGCCCCCGAACTCTTGGCTGGTGAACCCAGCACCTTCTCCTCAGACGTGTTCCAATACGGCCGTCTGATGCAGGAGATCCTAGTGGTAACAGGTACCAAAGATCCGGTACTAGTGAACCTGTTCCAAGAGGCGACATTGTCCAACCAAGAGTGGCGGCCATCCCTGCCCAACCTGCTCCGCCGCCTACAGGACCACATCAGAGACGACACCACCACGGACTCCACCTTCCACCGAGACCGCAAGAGGATTGAGCGGTATGAGGCAAAGTGCGCCAAGTGGGGGACAGACAGAGACGGACTGAGGATGCCTAAGGAGCAGGTTATGAGGGACAAGGCGCGGACGGAGGACTATTTGTTCCGTATAAGGGAATACCATGGGATCCTCGTCCTGTGAGAAGGATATCTATGATATCCTCGCCCTGTGAGAAGGAACTGGTTCAATGTCTTGTTATTAAGTTTATAACAAAAATAAAGAAATAAAAGGAATAATTTGTTAAATTAGCTGTTTGTCTATTCCATTGCACCTAAAACCTTCATTGTATATATATTTTTAAAATATTTTGCTATTAATATATGTGTATGTGTGTGTGTGTGAGTTGAGAATTGGTAAATATTGAGAGAGAGAGAGAGACACACACAGACAGACATCACAATAAGAGATGTGTGGGAAGTTCTCAACAAGTATTTCTGAGTATTGTTACTAGAAATTAAATAAATTGTAAGAGCGGACTGTATTAATTTTGGTTACTTGTCGGGGGTTTCCACTGCCACAAAATTTGGGGGGTAGATTCATAATGCTAAGTCTACCTGTTTAAATATACATGGAAATTCAAATAGTATCAATTTTTAGTAGTTAGTAGTCTACACTACTACTGATTAGTTTACAAAAACTTCAGCTTAGCTGATCTGAAGGTTTCCTCCTGAACCAGCAAGAACACGAGAGTAATCAGGTGGGTTATGCAGTAAATGTTGACCTCGTGGCCGGGGAATTACAATGTACCAACTGCAACAGTCTACTATATTGACATTATGACATAGGAAATAATACTTGATAAAATTGTGAGAGGCTTACTGGTGTTTTTTTGTTAATCATGCCTTGTAACACGGTTGGAATTCTAATGTTAAGAGCTCACAACCAAATGGATTCAACTGGGACATGTCCTTTCGTGCTTGGAGACTGCGACAGCTTGATACATGGTAATCCGTTCAACAGCACGACTCTGCTGCTCAGTTTGTAACTCTGAGGGGCATAATTCTGCAGTTTATAAGCACAAATATGGCGTCTATCGGGAGAGGACGGTGGCCCCTCCGCATCTCACGGATACGGACGCCTCTCCGGACGGACGCTGGACGCCTTTCCGGACAGACGCCGGACGGTTTTCCGGACGGACGCCTCTCCGCGTCTCAGGTGCTCCTGAACTCCGTCGCATGGCGCGGCGTCCCCCTCTTCTCATCAGTTGGTAGTCACGGCACGAATTTTTGGCGCAAAGTTACGAATGAAAGGAGGTAAATGCTAATTTATACGTGAATTTATTCTTCTCAATTACTATGAACATTGCTTAAACTCTACCTAAGATAACAATAACAAATGAAAGCAGATTGAAGACAGTTTCTATCAAGTGCTAGGCAAAGGAATAGTCACCGTGAACATGTGGTGGCTGATGCAATCGTCTCTTAGCATATTCTAGAACTTCTATTAGTACAGTTAGTTTGATTAGTATCTTAATACAACGTATTTATCTTATTGTGTCAAGGATTAGTATTTTTGGTGTCGGAAATTTCCGACAAGATGGTGGCGGACTTACTTGAGAGCGAGGGAAACCTTTTATTGTCAATCCTCCTTTCATCACTGAATCAGATCTCGACGGACTGACGGTTCTTAAGGTGGCGTTTGTAGGGCATATGCTCACGACGCACCCCTAGGGGGCCCCGGCATGATGGGCGATAGGTTCTTGTTGGGTGTCCTGCCTCTAATTGTGGTTTCATGGTGGGTGTGGGGGCACATTCGTGAATGAATGTTTTTCTTTCGTACTCATGTCGAATTCTGTTCCTCTTTTACCTTCTCAGGCTCGTGGGGTGGGCGACCAAGCCCCCGAGTTGGTCCGTGTTGGAAGACCAGGCTCTGTAGCCTCCACTGCATTGGGCCCCGACCTTGCTCCTCCTTTGGCCTTTCTGATTACTTCCCTCGGCTCTCCTCCCTCCTCTGTGGCTGGGTCGAGCCCCAAGCCCCCAATGGTGACTACCTCGTCCCCTGGCACGGCTCAGTCTCTTGTTGTGACTACTGCGCCTTTTAACCCGTCTCTCTCTCTCTGGGGGTTCTCAACGCCGTCCTAGACACGGCCGCACTAGCTCGATTCCTTCTCATACTGATGCGTATCAAGCCTTGTTTGGTTCCGCTTCGTGGCCCAAATATTTTGATCTTTGAGCACTTTTCTTCTCACTACCGCTCCGTTTCCGTCTTCACCGATGGGTCTAAGTCTGCGGACGGTGTAGGCTACTCTGTTGTTTTTCCTGATTGCACTTGTGTGTCACTTACCTCCGGAGACAAGCATCTTCACAGCGGAGCTTTATGCTATTCTCTATGCTCTTCGTCTCCTGCTTTCTCGTTGTCAATCTTACTTTGTAGTTGTTGTTGACTCGTAGTGCCCTCATGGCTCTCGGGTCCTTTAATCCGGTTCATCCAGTGGTTGTCGAGAACCAGCATTGGCTGTTTCTTGTTTACAGTAAATTTAAGTTGGATGAGTTTTGTTGGGTTCCCAGCCATATTGGTGTGTCTTTAAATGAGCGTGCAGATGCTGCTGCCAGGGAAGCTGTCCGCTCTTGTCCCATCTCTTGTAAAGGTATTCCTTATTCCGACTTTTACCTGGTTATCCATTCCTCCATCCTTACCCGTTGGCAGGCTTGTTGGTCGTCTGTTACTGGTAACAAACTACGTACTCTTAAAAGTTGTGTGTCCTCGTGACCGTCCTTCAACCACCGTAACCGGCGATGGGTAACGGCTCTGGTGAGGTTGCGTATTGGCCATATTCTCTTAACTCATGGTCACTTGATGGAGCGCCGTCCTGCTCCTTATTGTCCTAATTGCATTGTCCCTCTTACGGTCGTGCATATCCTTGTTGAATGTCCTGACTTTCAGAACGAGCGTGTCTTGTTTTCCGACCATCTCCCGTAGTCGCTTGTCTCTCGATAGTATTCTTGGTGCCTCGGATACTTTTGATATTGTTCGCTTTATGCGTTTTTGTTCTCGTGTTGGCATCCTTGGTGATATTTAGCGCCCTCTGATTATCCCGCACATTTGATGGTGCTACATAGCCTTCCCGGTTTGGTGCCTTCTTTTGACAATTACTTACTTATATCAAACACTTCCAGCAAACAGTGGAGCCTGGTTCAGAGCCTTCTACTTCTTGAACTTAACAATTCGAGGAAGGCCACAACAATTGCTCACTTTTGCCTCATCTATCTTGAAGCTGTGTAAGCAACCCGGCCTCAGACCAAGTCCATTCCATCCAGCGGTCGACCTCAAAGACGCGTTCATCAATTTCAACATGTTACCTTACCTTGTGGTTACCTTGTGTTCGGTTCGGGGCTTAGCCTCCCCGCGGCCCGGTCCTCGACCAGGCCTCTTCGTTGCTGGACTGGCCAATCAGGCTGCTGGACGCGGCTGCTCGTAGCCTGACGTATGAGTCACAGCCTGGTTGATCAGGAATCCTTTGCAGGTGTTATCATGGCTGTTCATTCAAAACATGAATTTTCTCATATATAAATTAATATCATTATATATTACCATATTCTGCATATATAGGTATAGGTTAGGTTAGGTGTTTAGGTTCTGTTGGCGATTATTTGTATTTGTAGTACGTGGGTGAAGCATTTACAGCGTTGTGATTGACATCATCATCCCTACTACACTACTCACCATCATCACTACCACACTACTCACCAACACCATCACTACCACACTACTCACCATCATCCCTACCACACTACTCACCATCATCCCTACTATACTACTCACCATCATCCCTACTATACTACTCACCATCATCACTACCACACTACTCACCAACACCATCACTACTACACTACTCACCATCATCACTACCACACTACTCACCATCATCCCTACCACACTACTCACCATCATCACTACCACACTACTCACCATCATCCCTACTATACTACTCACCATCATCACTACCACACTACTCACCAACACCATCACTACCACACTACTCACCACCATCACTACCACACTACTCACCACCATCATCACTACCACACTACTCACCATCACTACCACACTACTCACCACCACCATCACTACCACACTACTCACCATCACCATCACTACCACACTACTCACCATCATCACTACTACACTACTCACCATCATCACTACCACACTACTCACCACCATCACTACCACACTACTCACCATCATCACTACCACACTACTCACCACCATCACTACCACACTACTCACCATCATCACTACTACACTACTCACCATCATCACTACCACACTACTCACCACCACCATCACTACCACACTACTCACCATCACCATCACTACCACACTACTCACCACCATCATCACTACCACACTACTCACCATCATCACTACCACACTACTCACCATCACTACCACACTACTCACCAACACCATCACTACCACACTACTCGCCATCACTACCACACTACTCACCAACATCATCACTACCACACTACTCACCATCACCACCACACTACTCACCAACATCATCACTACCACACTACTCACCATCACTACCACACTACTCACCAACACCATCACTACCACAATACTCACCATCATCACTACTACACTACTCACCATCATCACTACCACACTACTCACCAACATCCTCACTACCACACTACTCACCAACACCATCACTACCACACTACTCACCAACATCATCACTACCACACTACTCACCAACACCATCACTACCACACTACTCACCATCACCATCACTACCACACTACTCACCAACATCATCACTACCACACTACTCACCATCACCATCACTACCACACTACTCACCACCACCATCACTACCACACTACTCACCATCACCATCACTACCACACTACTCACCTACATCATCACTACCACACTACTCACCACCACCATCACTACCACACTACTCACCATCACCATCACTACCACACTACTCACCAACATCATCTCTACCACACTACTCATCATCACTACCACACTACTCACCAACATCATCACTACCACACTACTCACCAACACCATCACTACCACACTACTCACCATCATCACTACCACACTACTCACCATCACTGCCACACTACTCACCATCACTACCACACTACTCACCACCACCATCACTACCACACTACTCACCATCACCATCACTACCACACTACTCACCACCATCATCACTACCACACTACTCACCATCATCACTACCACACTACTCACCATCACTACCACACTACTCACCAACACCATCACTACCACACTACTCACCAACATCATCACTACCACACTACTCACCATCATCACTACTACACTACTCACCATCATCACTACCACACTGCTCACCATCATCACTACTACACTACTCACCATCATCACTACCACACTACTCACCAACACCAACACTACCACACTACTCACCAACACTATCACTACCACACTACTCACCATCACTACCACACTACTCACCAACACCATCACTACCACACTACTCACCAACACCATCACTACCACACTACTCACCAACACCATCACTACCACACTACTCACCAACACCATCACTACCACACTACTCACCACCACCATCACTACCACACTACTCACAAACATTTTCACTTACAAAATTACCTCACTATCTCAAAACTCACAACTTACTCTTATGTAAACTGTGTCACTCTTGACAGCATTACCACCTCAGATGAAAGCATTACCATCTCAGATGAAAGCATTACCATCTCAGATGAAAGCATTACCGTCTCAGATGAAAGCATTACCATCTCAGATGAAAGCATTACCATCTCAGATGAAAGCATTACCATCTCAGATGAATGCATTACCACCTCAGATGAAAGCATTACCATCTCAGGTGAAAGCATTACCATCTCAGATGAAAGCATTACCATCTCAGATGAATGCATTACCATCTCAGATGAAAGCATTACCGTCTCAGATGAAAGCATTACCATCTCAGATGAATGCATTACCACCTCAGATGAAAGCATTACCATCTCAGATGAAAGCATTACCATCTCAGATGAAAATCATCTTGACAGTCGCCGTCAAACTGCACTTGACAACTTGAGGACAAAGTCCTGTGTACGGTGTTCCTAAGGTAAACTTGACGGGTGATCAAAATGGTGTGAGGACCATGAACATTTTCCCTTGCCTGCCCCTCTGGCCAGCCCTGGTGATCCTCTTGACTATATTGTCTGGCATCTAGGATATTAGCACCTGCTTAACTAGCTGGCCATGTGACTAGTTAGTCTGGCAAAATGGAGCGTCTTGGGGCTCACGACGTGGCGCAGCTCCTAAGGAAGAAAATAAAAATTCTTGGCTCCGGGACTTACGGTAGAGTAGTCCTGGTTAACTGGCACGGAGAGCAGGCCGCACTTAAAGTGGCCAACCATGCATCGGCCGCTAAGAGCTTCAAGCGGGAAGCCAGCGTCTTGTCAGAGCTGAAAGGGGCTGGAGGCGCGCCCCTCCTACTGGCGGTGTCTCACGATCGCCCAGCTCTCCTCACCACTTATAAAGGGGACACGAACGTGGATAAGATTTTATGCCACCCGCAATACGACGTAGTGCAGATTGGGTTTAAAATTGGCCTAAAATTATTACATGTCCACACAAAAGGGTATGTTCATAACGACATAAAATCTAACAATATAATGATTGAAGGCTCACCCGACCACCCAAAAATTAGTGTGATCGACTTCGGCCTCTCCTGTAAGAGTGGTGAAGTGGTCCTTACAAAAGGTGACCCCGAGGACTACCCGCTCTACGCCCCCGAACTCTTGGCTGGTGAACCCAGCACCTTCTCCTCAGACGTGTTCCAATACGGCCGTCTGATGCAGGAGATCCTAGTGGTAACAGGTACCAAAGATCCGGTACTAGTGAACCTGTTCCAAGAGGCGACATTGTCCAACCAAGAGTGGCGGCCATCCCTGCCCAACCTGCTCCGCCGCCTACAGGACCACATCAGAGACGACACCACCACGGACTCCACCTTCCACCGAGACCGCAAGAGGATTGAGCGGTATGAGGCAAAGTGCGCCAAGTGGGGGACAGACAGAGACGGACTGAGGATGCCTAAGGAGCAGGTTATGAGGGACAAGGCGCGGACGGAGGACTATTTGTTCCGTATAAGGGAATACCATGGGATCCTCGTCCTGTGAGAAGGATATCTATGATATCCTCGCCCTGTGAGAAGGAACTGGTTCAATGTCTTGTTATTAAGTTTATAACAAAAATAAAGAAATAAAAGGAATAATTTGTTAAATTAGCTGTTTGTCTATTCCATTGCACCTAAAACCTTCATTGTATATATATTTTTAAAATATTTTGCTATTAATATATGTGTATGTGTGTGTGTGTGAGTTGAGAATTGGTAAATATTGAGAGAGAGAGAGAGACACACACAGACAGACATCACAATAAGAGATGTGTGGGAAGTTCTCAACAAGTATTTCTGAGTATTGTTACTAGAAATTAAATAAATTGTAAGAGCGGACTGTATTAATTTTGGTTACTTGTCGGGGGTTTCCACTGCCACAAAATTTGGGGGGTAGATTCATAATGCTAAGTCTACCTGTTTAAATATACATGGAAATTCAAATAGTATCAATTTTTAGTAGTTAGTAGTCTACACTACTACTGATTAGTTTACAAAAACTTCAGCTTAGCTGATCTGAAGGTTTCCTCCTGAACCAGCAAGAACACGAGAGTAATCAGGTGGGTTATGCAGTAAATGTTGACCTCGTGGCCGGGGAATTACAATGTACCAACTGCAACAGTCTACTATATTGACATTATGACATAGGAAATAATACTTGATAAAATTGTGAGAGGCTTACTGGTGTTTTTTTGTTAATCATGCCTTGTAACACGGTTGGAATTCTAATGTTAAGAGCTCACAACCAAATGGATTCAACTGGGACATGTCCTTTCGTGCTTGGAGACTGCGACAGCTTGATACATGGTAATCCGTTCAACAGCACGACTCTGCTGCTCAGTTTGTAACTCTGAGGGGCATAATTCTGCAGTTTATAAGCACAAATATGGCGTCTATCGGGAGAGGACGGTGGCCCCTCCGCATCTCACGGATACGGACGCCTCTCCGGACGGACGCTGGACGCCTTTCCGGACAGACGCCGGACGGTTTTCCGGACGGACGCCTCTCCGCGTCTCAGGTGCTCCTGAACTCCGTCGCATGGCGCGGCGTCCCCCTCTTCTCATCAGTTGGTAGTCACGGCACGAATTTTTGGCGCAAAGTTACGAATGAAAGGAGGTAAATGCTAATTTATACGTGAATTTATTCTTCTCAATTACTATGAACATTGCTTAAACTCTACCTAAGATAACAATAACAAATGAAAGCAGATTGAAGACAGTTTCTATCAAGTGCTAGGCAAAGGAATAGTCACCGTGAACATGTGGTGGCTGATGCAATCGTCTCTTAGCATATTCTAGAACTTCTATTAGTACAGTTAGTTTGATTAGTATCTTAATACAACGTATTTATCTTATTGTGTCAAGGATTAGTATTTTTGGTGTCGGAAATTTCCGACAAGATGGTGGCGGACTTACTTGAGAGCGAGGGAAACCTTTTATTGTCAATCCTCCTTTCATCACTGAATCCGATCTCGACGGACTGACGGTTCTTAAGGTGGCGTTTGTAGGGCATATGCTCACGACGCACCCCTAGGGGGCCCCGGCATGATGGGCGATAGGTTCTTGTTGGGTGTCCTGCCTCTAATTGTGGCTCCATGGTGGGTGTGGGGGCACATTCGTGAATGAATGTTTTTCTTTCGTACTCATGTCGAATTCTGTTCCTCTTTTACCTTCTCAGGCTCGTGGGGTGGGCGACCAAGCCCCCGAGTTGGTCCGTGTTGGAAGACCAGGCTCTGTAGCCTCCACTGCATTGGGCCCCGACCTTGCTCCTCCTTTGGCCTTTCTGATTACTTCCCTCGGCTCTCCTCCCTCCTCTGTGGCTGGGTCGAGCCCCAAGCCCCCAATGGTGACTACCTCGTCCCCTGGCACGGCTCAGTCCTTGTTGTGACTACTGCGCCTTTTAACCCGTCTCTCTCTCTCTGGGGGTTCTCAACGCCGTCCTAGACACGGCCGCACTAGCTCGATTCCTTCTCATACTGATGCGTATCAAGCCTTGTTTGGTTCCGCTTCGTGGCCCAAATATTTTGATCTTTGAGCACTTTTCTTCTCACTACCGCTCCGTTTCCGTCTTCACCGATGGGTCTAAGTCTGCGGACGGTGTAGGCTACTCTGTTGTTTTTCCTGATTGCACTTGTGTGTCACTGTTATAAACTGATATGAGTGGGGCTTCTATGGGGTACTGGTACTATTAAGGGGTATAGGTAGTTAGAAGACAAGAGTATCAAATATGGGAGAGCTAAAAGGCCCGGCCCCCAAAATAAACTATCCACAGTAGTAATAACTTGCTACAAGACCATATATGTTAGTCTAAGGGTTGATCACTGCGCTCCCACCTTGGAAGAAGAGATACTCTGTAATTCATGTACTTATTTATTAACCCTTAACAACCCCCCCATATACACTCACACCAATAACAATAATAATAATAACTTTACCACACTATCTTACGTTAAAAGCCTTGGTCCACGTAGGCAGGATACAAGGTTTACACTAATAACAAGCTAGGGTAAAGTACTACTGGATAAGCACTGAAGCTGGATGCAGCTTAGGGTAGTGAAACCACGTGGGACCCTAATACAAAACACAACACTTAGGGGTACCCAAACACTGGCAAAATACTATCCCCAGGTCTCACCAATCGTTACTACCAGAGTAGGCACACTCACTAATGCCCTGTACTTAGCTTAAGGATACAGGAACTTCAGGTAAGGGAAATAAGTAAGAGGAGAAGGAAGGAGAGTAGGGGAGCAGCCACAGAGTAGGTCTTATCCACACACACCAGCCAGAGAGAAGACCGAGCTAGCCACCAGCTGCCTCCCTCATGTTGTGGTGCCGGGAGGAGCCTAATTGATCGTGCAGCTAAGCACATTAAAGATCTTCCCCTATGCAACGTATTGTTACTTTATGAATGATTAGAAAGTATTAGTAAGCAAAGTTGGTGCCTATGTTATTATTTAATAATCAACCCCCAGCTCAGTCTTTAAATGCTCTTTGAGAAACAATAATAGTCTTACGTCTGGCAGGGAAGATACAAACAATTGACATTCTAGATGCCCAACTGTACTACCAGAAAGTTTAATAGCTCAATTTTGACCTCTGGTTTCCACTGGAGAACCCAGGGTCGTAACACTCCTCCCCCCTTCAGAGAAAAAAAAATGTGACTACTAGAATAGTAGTCATATTTTTTTGTAAGAGTATACAGAGAACAAAAAGAAAAACATATGACAAAAACAAAAAATCAATCAAAAGCAATTTATCTGCAAAAAAAAAAATACAAAGGAGTTCTCTGAAAGAAAAAAAAACATACACAAAAAAATAAAAGAACAGGGAAGTAAATAAATTGGACACGGAATATTTAATGTCACAGGAGAACCTAAAAAAAACTAAAGCATGACAGTTGGTAAATGGCTTTCTGTGGCTCAGATGAATGTTATTCAGGCAGCCGGGACAGAGCGTCGGCTATCACGTTGAGTCTGCCCGGTAGGTGGGTAATGGAAAGGTTGAAGTCCTGTAGGTACAACGCCCACCTGAGGATGCGTTTATTCTTACCCTTCATCTGAGTCAGGAAAACTAGTGGGTTATGGTCCGTGTACACTTCCACTATATTACCTGTGAGGTAAACTTCGAACTTTTTACATGTTAACACTAGCGCCAACGCCTCTTTTTCTACCACTGAATAATTGCGTTGCGCCTTGTCGAATTTCACAGAGTAATAATATACTGGGTGTTCCACCTGATCATCCCCAGTTTGCAACAACACTGCACCAGCACCCGAGTCAGACGCGTCAACATGAATTTTAAACGGTCGGTCGAACCTTGGACTAGCAAGCACTGGGGCGGAAGCTAAGATCAATTTCAAATTTTTAAATGCCTCTGCACAGTCTGATGACCACTTAAATTTAACGGCTTTCCGCAACAAGTCTGTGAGAGGAGTGGCAACACTG